AGAGAGAGAGAGAGAGAGAGAGAGAGAGAGAGAGATTCGTAAAATAAGCTGTCAAGAAAGACAAAAAAATATGAAGAATTTTCACTAGAAGTATTTGGTTTGAAATCTTAGAAATCTCGAACCTCATTTAATACTCGCAAATTTTAATCAGATTTTGATTTCAGTATAATCCAGTCAGTTTTATCTCATCATAAGCTTTTATTATTGCACTATGTTTTAAAAAAATTATTATATTTTGGAGATACGTTCTAATATCAGTTATGAGATGCTATTTTTAGAGATTCATTGGATAATGATGAATACGTGGAAATGAAGAATGATACAGTAGAGCAGTTGAAGGTAATGGACCTTACGTTTCTCATACAACTTAAAAAAATATCTGCACATGCCGTTTAAACAATTTTCATTTTCTGTAGTTTTTTATTTTGGTTTAAATTATACATGGGATTTATTCGAAAATTTCGACTTAATGAATTATTTTTCAGGAATTGGAACGAACATTGGATCGTGTGAAATGCGGTGATGTTTCATTAACTGATGAGTTGACTGCTACAAAAATGGTAATTTGAAAATGATTATCATGCAGTTTCGCTAAGCATAAAGATCTGTACATAATCAATTCGTCATAAAAACAGTATCAGTTGTTTGTCAAAATTATTATAAAATTATTCTTGTATTTATTTGTTCTATTATTTAAAATGCAATCAGTGAAGCATTCAAAACGCCTTTCTTTTTCTTTTCTTATTCAGGCGATCCAAAATGCAATCAGTGAAGCATTCAAAACGCCTGAAATTGTGGCAATTTTTGCCAAAAAAGAACCCGTTTTACTTCGTCAAAAATTAATGCAGGTTAATTTTTTGGTGAATTTAAAATCTCTTCTAAAAAGAATGTATTGAAATTTGGATCACAATGGCGGAGAGCGGGAAGAGAGATTATCATATGACATAAAAAGTTCGAGAAATTATTTAATAATGTGAAGTTGTTTAGTAATGTGATTATTATTTAATAATGTGAAATATATGTGTATGACTATCCAGTTTAAAATCTTAAGAGTAAGATTAGAATATTTGGGAGATTGTTTCGTTTGTCGAGATGACGTTATCATCCAGTTTAGAATAGTGAAGTGAAGTATTTCACAAATTGCTGAGTTTATTGATGTGAATACATATACACAACTATCCAATTTTTAGATAGAAACTGACCGTCATTTACGAAAGATATCAGACGAAACATTTAAAGCAAGGAAATTAGAAATTTTGTATGCTTTGTATAAGCTAAACGACGATTTATCAGATGAGGAGAAAAGTGTTATCAATGCTGCCTCTAAAGTTTCTGGTTTTCAATTTGAATTAGCATCCAGTCATTTGAGTTGTGACGAGTCCATTATCAATGTTAACTTATAGCACTCTATCCAGATTCTCTTAATTCTTGTCTCAAGTGACAGATTCTATCTTCTATCTTATCCGAAATATTTTTTTCTTTCATTTCAACCAGAAATATGCATTTTGTGTATTTATAACTGAAATGAAGTGTTTTTAAGTTAAAAATGTCTCTTTTAAAATCAAATTTTTAAAACAGGATTCAACTATAATGCTTGTTTGAAGTGATCTAGTCATGTTTCTATATCTGTTGGTGAAACAATTTAATAAAAATATGGCTCATTTATTGAGGATCTGTGATGGATGAAATTTTCTCGTATGTTTGTTAACCAGTATTATTGTCTGCGATCATCTTTTTTCTTCTATGTGTTCATTAGCTGTTACTGAGAATTCACGCTTAGCTTTTTCTAACTCATGCATTAAAGCATTTTGTGTACAGAGTTGATGAGTTTTTTTTTTGTGTTATTTATACATCGATCTTGTTTAATAAATTTCCAATTTATAAATTTGGAATTATAACAAGTTGATTCATCCGGTGGAAAATCGTAGATGTTAGACGTTTGGATGAAAACTACTATATATTCTGCTATTATATATTCATTCATACAAAGAATACATTAAGGATGGCAGCTTTTACCAAGCAATTTTACTTTCTTTTAACGGTAAATGAACATATAACATTATTAAATATGATGTCACATAAAAAAAAGGAATCCAGTTCTTCATATAAATATTGATAAATTAGTTTCATTTATATTGATATCTTTATCTTTTCACTCACATATTCTTAATAGAAGAGCATCTTATATTTCAATTTTATATTATACCGAGAAAACTACTGTGTTTTACATGATCTATTTGCAAAAAAAAAAGACTTGGATAACTTTTATTCGAAATATTTAATATGAAATAGATCAATTTCATTGTTGTAAAATGACATCAACAAATTAAGCACGAAATCTTTCTATTATAATAATATCTTTGTAATACTTCAATCCTATTTATACTGTTAACTATTTATATTTTTTCCTTCTCATTTAACTACTCATATTACGAGAAGAGCAAAATTTTCAGTTAAATCTAGTCTAATCTTTACCTTTCATTTCATACTAATCTCATCATCTCTCTCATCAGACGTACGGATGTGAAAATGGATATGCCATTTTTCGAATGAAATCCTTATTGAAATAATATAAAATAAAAAAAAAAAAGAAAATGCTATATACTACTCAATCTTTTACGGCAATGAACGATCATTTAGCATATAGTTAATGCAGTGCAGTGCAGTGCAGTGCAGTGCAGTGCAGTGCGGTGCAATGATATATTTACCGAACTCATCGATTTGAGAATGAGAGTGTATCGGATGGAGGTGGAAGTAAGGGATGAAAAGTGAGGAGTTCGTTTTTGTCTCTCCTCATCTCAACCAAAAGCTTCTTCATCAATCCATCCACCCATCCACCCACACCATTTTGCTGTTCACTTCACTTTTTCTTCTTACTTGAGCCATCCATCCATCTATCCACCACTTACTTACCTTCCGTCCACTACCACTTCAATAGTAGCGCAATTCTTCTCTTCCTCCCGCTCTCCCATCCACCCACACACACACACACACACACACACACACACAC